AATGATTGTCTCCGCACGCAATGTTGTGTGTTTTTTGTTCTCGACTACTCAAGATGCTATAATCGTTTGAATAAATACACGGTCCATTTCCTGCGTAAATGCCCTTCGTTTCAGCCGCGAATTATCTGAGAACTAACTGACCAAAAACCTCAGTTCAACTGAATTGGGGGTTATATTTGGTTTTACTGGATCAATAACTAATCCCGACAATCTACTGTGGTAAAAGTCCGGTGGCACTGGAAAGGGAAACAGATCACTTACAAAACAGAGACTCTGAGGCTAAGGAGGATTAACAAGGGCAAATGAACTCACGTTATTTAGCCAATAAGTCAGTGGTGGACTCTGATTTTAGATAAGAGAGCTCGAACAAACGAATGCCGAAGGAAGATTCGGGGGGGGGGGGGGGGGGGGGGGTTGTCTTAAGGTATGCTCCACCCGAAACGTTTTGAAATTTTAGTCCTCAAAAATGCTTTTCCCACTATCCTGAAGGTCTGTTGGTCTGTTGTTACAAATTTTTATTAAAAAGTGCGACAACTGTTATTACAAAGAGTGACAGGTATTACAAAGGGCGATAATTTTATTGCAAAGTGCGACAGAACACCGTTGTCTTGAGTGCCAACTGTTGTCGCTTCAGGTCTTCCACAGTGTGCTCATGCACCCATTCCATCAGAGAAGGGTGATTGATGAGATTGATTGATTTCAGTATATTTTTGATCAACGCAGCTATCTCTTCTCTCAGATGTATTCCGTCAATGCTGAAGTTTTTCGAGCACAAAATTCTCCTGTAAATTTCGCATCCATTCCGGACGGTCTACCAGAACCTTTGGTTTTCATTGTTTCATTGTATTATATATATATCATTTGCTTATCGATGAGGTCAAAGATGTTGGGCGGGACATTCATCATCTATGTCAGCAACTTGTGGATGTTTTTCCTTTAGTGTTTGTAATAATAACTGTTAAATTTTTGTTTTAAATATTTCATTCTATAAAAATGCTTACCCTCTTCATAGAAATTTAAATTCAGGATATAAAGGGGTGTGCAGGCTAGAAGATGTTTTTCAAGTAGCAGTTCCTGTCGAGTGGTATTGATGTCGTTGTTGTTATAATTTTAGGCAATAGTTTGACTATTTCTTTTTTGCAAAACATGAACTTTTCCGCTATCGATCACCGTTTTTTCTGAACAAAAGTGAATCATCTTCCAGGATACCGGCAAGCATCAATGATAGCTGGCTGTAAAGAATTTAATTAAGCCTATCAGTAACGGAGAAATATTTTGTGTGAATAATGATTCGTTTTAACCACGCAGCTTCCGTTTTCCATGGTTAAAGAAATTGATAGCAGGTGTTAATGTCGAGTTTTATAGGCAACCATGTCAAGTTTATGTCATCATTTTTAGATCCACTCCAAAATCAGGTGGACTGCCATCAAGTTACAGCGAGAAAAAACTTTAAGGTAAGATTAACACAGAAGTTTCTTTTTTAGAAGAGTAAATGAAACGTTTTTTTTATCGCCAAAAGTGTCCTTTAGGTTCGCTTTACACTCTTTGTGCTGAAATGGGCTGCGAACTTTTAATCAGTTGAGAAAACTAAACAACTGTTCCAGTGAACTGGACTGTTTTTAAAAGCCAAAATCGACGCTTAAGCCCTTTGGCAATATTCCTTTTCCATATCTCTCCCGAGACAACCTCATAGATCAATCCGCCTTAATTCAGACGAAATAATTATATTTAAACTCAAGATTTCTTCACTGTTAAACATAAAATTGGTAAACAAATCCCTTCCCTAAACTTTCAACGCAAAATTTTCTTGCACCTAACATAGACTTGTTTTCTTTCCAACGGCCTCTCCATGTGATCCCTGTTAACCAAATATATAATATGATGAAATATAAGATTTTATTAAAATTATATTATAATAATTGTCTTCTTTTTACACATGTGCAATCCGGTCAATTGGACCATTTTTTTCATACGACGTATGAGTTGCAAAAATCGTCCAAATTTTAAGGCCTCATATCTACAAAAGGTTGATATGAAATTCTCGTGAACTTCACAGTTTTACTCCAAGATTTGGCATCATTAATCGATCTATGGCGTTGTTGTCTTATACAGCGTGTGAGATGACGGTCAACATTCATTCTTTTACTATTTTATATGAGAAGACAAAATACGTCCTGGTTACCTAGACAGTATTCTGAGGGTGACATTAAATAGCAGCGCTGTGGATCTATTTTTTCTTCGAGTTATTGTACCACACCAAAAGAGATGTCTCGTGTGGCTAGTAGACTGTTAGATCTAAAAAAGAGAGAGAGATGGGTACCTGAGTGGCTATAATTTGGGCAGAAATTAGAAGTGGTATGTATCCACTCGAAGTAGTGCAACTCATCCCCTTCAATTATTTCTTCTATTGTCTTTCAGTGCCACGATAATTATTTTATCAATTTCCGCTTAATTACGAACACGTTCAATGAAATATGTGATAAACACGCACCTTTAATGAAAAGATAAAAACCAGTAGCAAGAGCGACCCATGGATCACTAACGAAATAAGAAGAAAGATGAATTATAGGTACAAGCTCTTTAAGGACGTTCGCGCGAAAAAAAAAATTCTAACATTAATTTTTTTCTGAAACTTTCACCAGTTTGAGATTATGGGTTACTCATGCCAAAAATGTAAAAAATTGGGGGTCACCGAATTCGTTTCGAGATACGATGTTCAAAAGATCACCCAAAATCTGAGAAATCGAGCTTCGTTACTGCATACGGATAAAGTGCCTGTTTGTGCAAAAAATTTATAAATAAATCCCTGAATTGAAATTTTATCCGTCAATTATTGTTCTTGTGGATCCATAAAAAATTCGGTGAACTAAAAAACTTCCTCAGAGTTGATTTTATCATTTAGCGGACACATTTCTACTCTCCCTAACAGCCGCACGAATGCCAAAATTCGACGCCGCGTACACAGAAAAATTGAAATTTTTACCTTCCCACATTGATTTTTGTTCATTTTTTTCACAATCTATCGGAAAGTGGAAGAGAAAGTGGTCTACGGAAAAAAAAAAAATGGGGTGTCACCGACCATTTAAGAAAGTAAATTGCAAGCGAAGTTAACGCAACGGCTACCAGCCCTATATGTGCTTAGACAGTTTTCTCAGCGCGCGCTCGATGCATGACGTGGCGTGATATTGCGATATGAATCTTTTTCTTAGGAGGCTATATTTTTTAAGCATTGTATTTTTTTTTTTGAAAATACCTTTCGGTTCAATTTCCTCAGTTTAGAGAGCTATTATTTTAAGAAAACTGAATTTCCTCCCTTTTGATCAGCTGCTACCGATTTGAACAAACAAAAGACGGATAAAAGATTTTCTCAAAAAGTAAATGATTGTTTCCGCACGCAATGTTGTGTGTTTTTTGTTCTCGACTACTCAAGATGCTATAATCGTTTGAATAAATACACGGTCCATTTCCTGCGTAAATGCCCTTCGTTTCAGCCGCGAATTATCTGAGAACTAACTGACCAAAAACCTCAGTTCCAACTGAATTGGGGGTTATATTTGGTTTTACTGGATCAATAACTAATCCCGACAATCTACTGTGGGAAAAGTCCGGTGGCACTGGAAAGGGAAACAGATCACTTACAAAACAGAGACTCTGAGGCTAAGGAGGATTAACAAGGGCAAATGAACTCACGTTATTTAGCCAATAAGTCAGTGGTGGACTCTGATTTTAGATAAGAGAGCTCGAACAAACGAATGCCGAAGGAAGATTCTGTGGGGGGGAATGCTATTGCTATTGCAGTTACAGAAGTCTGAGCTTAGAGTCAAAGTAACGAGATACATATTGCAGATACGCCTAGCAAGGCGCATCTCGTTTCAACCAATGACGATGAAAACGTCAAATAAGACGTTTGGAATGTAAATGACACAAGGTCACCAACCGAAGTGGATGCGAACATGAGATAGGCAGAGTTTGTACCAATTCGTCAGTAACTTTTTCAGAAATAACGGCTGCTATGGAAACTGATACAGAACTTGAGTCGTTAACCACCGTCACTAAGCAGGGTTGGCCAGAGAATTTGGCAGCTTTGTCCCCTCTTAGCGTTTTAACTTCAGGGAGGGACTGTCATTTCAGAATGTCATTGTGTTCAAGGGTGAAAGAATCGTGGTCCAACTTATAATATCTTGAGACATTCTATCACTGGCACAATACATGCAAGCCACCTGGGTGTCCAGGGCTGTCTGTGGAGGGCTAAGGAAGCTTTCTATTGGTCAGGAATGTACAAGTAGATTCCAGAGGTCATCTCAAGATGCAGTATCTGTAATAGTTACAAACCAACACAGCAGAAAAAAACCTCTAGTGTGCCATGAAATACCAACAAGACCCTGCCAGAGCATCTCGACAGACCTCTTTGAGCTCAACAGTACCGACTATCTTGTTACCACTTATCATTAAGAGATTATTGCTAATTAAGCTGAAGCTTCATTTTGCAAGATAAGGTCTGTCAGATAGACTCACTACGGTTCCACTGTTGTGAATTTCATAACTTTGCGAAAGATTTCCAGTTTGAGCACATCAAAACTTCACCTAGATATTCCCAGTCGAGTGGAAAAGCAGAAAAACCTTGCAAAGACAGCAAAGTCTGTCTTAAAGAAAGGTGCGGACTCGAGCTATGACCCAAATATGTCTCCTCTTGAGTTTAGAAGCTCACCATCATAAAGAATTTATATTTCTCCAGCACAACGTCTCCTCTATCGAAGGACTCGCTCCTTACTGCCCTTCGCTGGCAAAATTCTTCAGAAAAATGTTGCTCATCAAGTGGCACAGAAATTGCGATGTAGGAACCACAAGCAAGCTGTTTACTATGACACAGGAGCTATGGATCCTACCTTTGCCAGGTCAGTGTAAATTGCTTAGACTCAAGTGGAGGATCAGCTGGCGGTAGGATCCTATACGGTCAGCACAAAGGGTGGAAGAGAATATTGCCGCAACCGCTCCCACCTTTACAACGTTGCCGAGAAATACCAGCCCAGCTCACATGATGAAGCAGTGTAATCTGAAAGAACAAGCCGTAGCCCAATACACCCGTAGGACACTGCGGTGCTGCCTACTGAATCTCCGGCGCCGCGGATGTCTGATCGGTCAGTGATAGCAGGGGGTTCACAGACTGACTCCCAGTTAGTTTCTTCAAATACTCCTGTGCCTGTCACTACTAGAAGTGGGAGAATAGTTAAGAGGCCAGCTTACCTTCAAGATCTCGTTATCTAAGCGAACAGTGAATATTTCCTACACCTCTATTTGCTGGAACTCAAATACTATATGTTATTTTAGTCACTAAATATACAATGAGACAATTTTCAGGTTTCGTGTTCTTTTCTGCTTGTTTGCTGTTTCTTTTCCTTCAATTTGTCAAAACAAAGGAGATGTAACGATGTTAGTTCCAGCACTCGGGGACCAGGCTAGGTAAAGTTTCCGGAAAGTTTCTCGTGTTCTGTTCTGTAATCACATGTAGTCGTCGAATTTTACTATGATCAAATGAGTTGTGTTCTTCAGCTTCTGTCGAGTTTATTGACTCACAACTCCTTTTTACTCTCCTCGCATGTTTTGAAATCGCGACATCCTGACATAAAATCAATGTTTGGCATGAGCAGTAACGGGATAATGTTTATTATTTAAACTCTAAAATGTACAAGATTTGTTTGATTAACAGGAGTAGAGTGACCTTAATAATAAGTTTATCCTTTGTTAGTTCTATCTATTGTTTAAACTAAAGGATACATGTGGTTCACCTTAATTGTTATTTTTCTTACGAAATCGTTTCCAGGTAAGTTAAATTTCGCCTTTGGAATGTTCTCTTTCCGCTAATCTACAGTGTGTTGTGTTTTTGAGGCTTCATTGAGCTGGCCTGCGTTTTGTAGACAGAGTGCTGTCCGTCGCAGTCGCCTGAGTATAATTTGATTGTGATTGTTTGAGACGGCTTGTTATTGGAACACTACTCAAAATACTGGCTGTTTATGCGTACTTTAACACTAAGCTAGGCATAGCTTGACATATATAGGAGAAAAAGGCTATGCCCATACTTATTAAAAGTTAGTTTTAGTTATGTTAATGAAGGTTCGTTACTTTCAAATTTACTTTCAGGGTAAGGATGAAAAAACAGGCGATTGCTTTAATAGTTTTTGTACTGCTTGGATCAATGTGTACCCCGTGTAATGGAGTTGCTGCTGGAATGTGGGCCAAAAGAAAAGGTAAAAGGTCGGACGCGAAACGTGACTACAAAGATTTAAACGACGGCTACAATGAAGTTAGCAGAAGCATCTACAGAACCTTTAAAGAAAAGTACGAAGCCACTGATGACAATTACAAGGCCAATTGACCCAAAGAGCGGAGACTGAGATGACGACTCAGAGTAAACCGAACTTTCGGTAAAGGATTATAACTAACATTAAACATTAAATTTCTTACAATAAGCACCAGGCTTCAAGGGGAGTAATAGATAGATGAAACTTTACTAAAGTGTATATTACTATACCACTTAATCCACTAAATGGGGAAACTAACAATTTTAGAAGCTAAGATGAACGCTTATTTAAAGAAGAAAGCTAAATTGATTAGAGTGGTTAAATTAACTCTTTACTTGTACGAAGTGAAATCTTAATATGACGGATAATGCACATTAACAAACTATGTAAGTCGTCGAGTGAGATATTAACTGAAGCAGACTTTATGGTAAAGAAACTGTTATCCTGTATTAATACCATAAACTGAACTTTAATAAAGCAAGAAAAGGTTGACAATATTCTTGATCTGAGGGGAGCATATTGAGGAGGGAATATCTGACTGTTCACTTATTCAGGTTGGAGCGCTAATTCGAGGAAAGTAAGGGTTTTTTTATTACAGATCTTTAAGTTAATAGCGGAGCTTTCGCGCGCGCCAGCGAAGCACCATGGGTAAGTAAATCTACCCATCCCAGAAAATTTGGTAATCACGTGACCGTACGCTGACCGCCCACCATCCGTTCGCACCACAGGCACACCAATGTTTACTAGCTACTTTGGGAGCCCAGGAGAAAATTGATTGCACATCAATGCTGTGATCAATTGACAAATGTCAAAACAGGGTATCCGCTGACCAGTATCACCTGACCGTATCGCGGGCTCAGGTGTCGATCCATCCAGGTCGAGAACTTTTTTGAAGTTATCCGGTGATAAGTTAATAGTTTTCAAATGATCGCGGGCTCAAGTTTATTTCTTTAAAAAAATGGTATGAAATATGTTGCGTTTATGTCACTATGGCCCCGCACCATTAAAAATTTGATTTCAAACTGACCTCGGACGCGAAAATTCAGCCAGTTATTTAAAAATACAGGCAGGGAAGACAGATGCTTTTCACTTTTCTAACCATAATCACGCGTTGGTCACGCTCTACGTCCAATTTTTATGCTCTGATTGGTCAAAACTTGACAGGTGAGTTCATGTGGAAAAATTATACAGCATTTTGAAACTTGTTTACTTTTACAGCTGAAGCTGACAGAGTTTTGTGTAAACTTGTGATGTTTTTAACTGTCTTTTTCCACTGGATGTACAAAATGAAATACAGCTGCTATCAAGAGTCTTCTGTTATTCATGGCTGGTTTGTTTAATGAATTTTTAGTTAAGAAATGCGCCGCTTGTCAAAGTCGGAAATCCTTTTTCTGATGGTATCGTTTTCGTTTTTCACCTTGCTGGATGCGTAAAGAGGGTTGAAAAGTCTCAAGCGATTCTGGCGTTACTTAATAGCTTTCGGGAGCTACATCTTGAATGGTAAGCCTGAGTAATTATTGTATTTGTTTTTTTGTATTTGTATTTGTATATGTGGGCTATCATCTGGTATGCATTTGGGGTAGCCTGATTAAATTCCAGGGGGGTGGGGTTGTTGTAAAGACTATGCTTTGTGCTAGAGTGCAGATTCGTTGAGTTTTTGTACTTGGGCTTACCCCTGTCTTTCAAAGCTCAATGTCTCCCTCAAATTAAGGGGGGCGTTGTGTCTGGCTGGGTGTCATGTTGTTGCACAGACACAGGGCTATCATCTGGTATGCATTTGGGGTAGCCTGATTAAATTCCAGGGGGGGTGGGGTTGTTGTAAAGACTATGCTTTGTGCTAGAGTGCGGATTCGCTGAGTTTCTGTACCTGGGCTTACCCCTGTCTTTCAAAGCTCAATGTCTCCCTCAAATTAAGGAGGGGTTGAGTATGGCTGGGTGTCATGTTGTTGCACAGACACAGGGCTATCATTTGTTATGCATTTGGGTAGCCTGGTTAAATTCCAGGGAGTGGGGTTGTTGTAAAGACTATGTTTTTGTGCTAGAGTGCAGATTCGCTGAGTTTTTGTACCGGGACTACCCCTGTCTTTCAAAGCTCAATGTCTCCCTCAAATTAAGGAGGGGTTGCGTCTGGCTGGGTGTCATGTTGTTGCACAGGCACGGGGCTATCGTCTGGTATGCATTTGGGGTAGCCTGGTTAAACTCCAGGGGAGTGGGGTTGTTGTAAAGTTTGATGTGTTTTTGCACTCTTATGCAGTTTGTTGGTGCTGTTTGCATGCAAGCAATGACCCACTCTGTTGATAATGTTCCTAGTCAGCAAGCAGTTGAACTGCTGGTTTTAGGACTTGGTTTTGTTGAGCAGTGTTGGCTTAGATTCTTTTAAGGAGACCAGCTTCAATTAAAAATGGGGTGAAAGTAGTATAGGGCGCACCGGTTACTCCTCTTTTTTGGGGGGGAATCTCATTAAGGTGGGGGGAATAAATTAACGTCGCTGACGTCATAACCTTTTGTCTTGATCTCATGAATAAACTGCTGTGGTATCTCATTAACTTGCGGTGGAATTTCATTAAGATAAGGTCGTGTGCTATTTTAGTTGACTTAGGGTTTCTAGTTACTTTAAGGTCGATAAACGTCTTCGTTTTCGATTGGTTAGTAAGGAAATAAGAAACGTTTTCATTGGTTAATTCATAGTGCCTGAGGAGAAAAGTTAATCTTTTTGTGCGACTTAAAATCACTGAGACGTAACGTAATTATGCAAGTCCTATTTTCCTGCTGCTGTGAATGTCCTAGTTCCGGTTCACTGATTTTTGGCGGGCAAATCGTGCATATTAATGAGGGAAAAGGCAAACTAGCTCTTTTTTTTTACACTGCAAACAATGTTTTACTTACCCCTCTCCTTTTCACAATTTTATTATCTTCCTTCCTCAATTTTTTTATTTCTTCCTCCACAATTTCACAATTTTAATATTTTCCCTCCTCCTACTCCTCCTCCTCCTCCTCATCTTTATTGTTTTCCCTCCTCCTCCTCCTCCTCATTTTTTATTGTTTTCCCTCCTCCTCCTCCTTTTCATTTTTATTTTTTTCCCTCCTCCTCCTCCTCATTTTTATTGTTTTCCGCCCTCCTCCTCCTCCTCCTCATTTTTATTGTTTTCCCTCCTCCTCCTCCTCCTCCTCCTCATTTTTATTGTTTTCCCTCCTCCTCCTCCTCCTCCTCCTCCTCATTTTTATTGTTGTCCCTCCTCCTCCTCCTCCTCCTCCTTATTTTTATTGTTTTCCCTCCTCCTCCTCCTCCTCCTCATTTTTATTGTCTTCCCTCCTCCCCCTCCTCCTCATTTTTATTGTTTTCCCTCCTCTTCCTCCTCATTTATATTGTTTCTCCTCCTCCTCCTCCTTCTCCTCCTCCTCCTCCTCTTCCTCCGTGGTGGCGGTGGTGGAGGAAAAACTATAGAAATGTGGAGGAGGAGGAGGAGGAGGAGGAGGGAAAACAATAAAAATGAGGAGGAGGAGGACGAGAGAAAACAATAAAAATGAGGAAAAGGAGGAGGGAAAACAATAAAAATGAGGAGGAGGAGGAGGGAAAACAATAAAAAATGAGGAGGAGGAGGGAAAACAATGAAGATGAGGAGGAGGGGAAGGAGGAGGAGGAGGGAAAATATTAAAATTGTGAAATTGTGGAGGAAGAAATAAAAAAATTGAGGAAGGAAGATAATACAATTGTGAAAAGGAGAGGGGTAAGTAAAACATTGTTTGCAGTGTAAAAAAAAGAGCTAGTTTGCCTTTTCCCTCATTAATATGCACGATTTGCCCGCCAAAAATCAGTGAACCGGAACTAGGACATTCACAGCAGCAGGAAAATAGGACTTGCATAATTACGTTATGTCTCAGTGATTTTAAGTCGCACAAAAAGTTTGACTTTTCTCCTCAGGCACTATGAATTAACCAATGAAAACGTTTCTTATTTCCTTACCAACCAATCGAAAACGAAGACGTTTATCGACCTTAACGTAACTAGAAACCCTAAGCCAACTAAAATAGGACACGACCTTATCTTAATGAAATTCCACCGCAAGTTAATGAGATACCACAGCAGTTTATTCATGAGATCAAGACAAAAGGTTATGACGTCAGCGACGTTAATTTATCCCCCCCACCCCCATCTTAATGAGATTCCCCCCCAAAAAAGAGGAGTAACCGGTGCGCCCTATACTACTGGTGAACTGGGGAATTGTCTTTGCAATCGGTGACACCGACACTAAAAATTGCTTCTTAAAATGCCTTATTTTCCAGATTAATGAGGAAAACTTCACTTTTGTTACCTTCAAGACAGACGATTCTATCAGATGGAAGCTCATATATTCAATAATTTCTTTTTGAGGTGAGATTTTACTTTTCAAGTAACAAGGGCCATCAAATTAACAATCAGTGCGAGAGACTGACATTTTTTAGTAGCCCGGTTTTCAAAAACTAGGTATATATATATATATATATGTATATATATATATATAAATAAGAGGTTTTATATATATATATATAAGAGGTTTGAACTTGAAATCCGTAAAACAGTGCTCAATACATAAAGTAGAGCGAGTATACGTATGGTTGACGGAAGAAAACAAGTAACTACAACTACATCCCTACAAGCCTGTTTCGTGGTTGCCCACTCATCAGGGGATTTTAAGTAGAATAACTTTACCATTACTTATATACTAGACTGATTTACATAATTTATTCAGTGCGAGGTTCGTTACATCAGTTGTTGCGCAAGAGGGCTTTGTTTCTGTGGCGGCAGGAAGACACGAGCTCATTACGTTTGTTAAGTGTAGAGAGTTCAGGTCGGCAGATGATAAGGAATTTTTCTTTAAGACATAAGTTGCATCGTTTGCTTGAGCTGTTGTGCGGCAGGTGTGAAGATAGAATGCGCCAGGCGATAGAGTAGTTGATGTTGTTTTCTTTAAGAGTCCAGACGTGTTT